CACCCCTTCTTCATCCACAAGCGTCCAGATAATATCTACTACTGTACCGAGCCCCTGATCCAGATCGGCCATGGCGTCTTCGTCTTCCACAAGCCAGCGCCGCGCCTCCCAGGAGATGTTGCCTCTCATCCCCTGCCCCTACTGCGGCGACAAGATCCTCACCTTCATCTGCGGGTCTGGTGGGACGAAGCCCGGACAGAGATTCTACAAGTGCATTCAAAAAGATGTAAGTTTTTTGAAATGTACCAATCAGCGCAGACTCACCGATGGTTTCCTTATCAATTTTCCTGTAATCATCATCGCAGGCTGGCAGGTGCAAGTTTTTCGAGTGGCAGGAGGGTACGCGAGGTTCCTGCCAGCGCATCCATCTCCCAACCTGGATGACAACCAGATCCACAATCAGATCCAGGAGGTGGCCCGCCCAGTTGCAGCGCCGTCGCAACCTCCCAGGAATAGAGGTTGTAGAAATTGTATGCCTGGCCTAGCAGTCGAATGTCATACCCACCGACGGTTCAACCACGCGCTCGCCGAGCGATTCCGCATATCCCCTGATTGTCCTCTCTAGCGCTCCTACTCTGTCAGGACAGGGAGCTCTATCCGGAGGCTGATTACCAACCCTTATCCTGCACACAGCCATCAAGCGAATGATCACATTCATACATCCAGTCATGAAGCATTCATATACAGGGGGAAAAAAGGAAATACAGGCGCCCCCGAAAATGCGTAGAACAGCAAGATTAATCAGGGGAGACATTATTTCTACCTCTTTGTCCACCTGGGGCCTGAGGATCAGCTTTACCAGTAGACAGTGCAGATCCTGCCTCTGCACTTCTTGTTCTGCCTTCAATAACACCTTCCTGGTGCCCATTAGCCAGTGATTGCACGGCCTCTCCAATTTCGTCACCATTATCGCCCTCGCTCTCACTGAACGTTGGCAAACCCCTGCAGCCTTCATCAACGCTAGCCTCCTCTCCAAACAAGCCAGCGCAGCCCAGCCGCGAACTCATGCCTATCCCGTACACCACG